CTGATGTTCAGATGGTATAATGGTTACCATGTTCAGCATCTTAGTTTAGTTTAGTTAGCATGCTAACATTTGCTAATTTGGTGAAGAGAATGCCATTAGTTTTGCAGGTATTTGGAAGTATTAATATTTAGACCTGATGATGGCACTACAGGAAAAGTGATTTCAAATTATCGTGAGGAGAACATAAATATCTGTGCCAGATTTCATGCTAATCAATCTGGTAGTTGCTGAGATATTTCAGTCAAACCCACAGATGTCAACCTGCTGTTGGCACTAGATTAAGTCAGGAGATCACCAAAGTCATTAGGATACATCCGCTGGGGGACATGACTGTCTGTGCAAGATTTCATGGCAATCCATCCAATAACTGAGATATTTGGACCCACTGAGCGATAGACCATAGACATTGCTGTTCCTCAAGCCACGCTACCATTAAAATATCTTTTCCAAATATGTTGTTAAGCGTTCAAGGACAACTCATTGCAACGTATCCATTCAACCGCTGATGTCAAGACGTTACAATTTAAAGATGTAATGAACTTTCAGTTTCAACAAGTACTGGTTGTTACAACTCTGGCTTTACAAAATTTCTTATTTCTTTATTGTATTTCTTCTTTGAAAAATACCAACTATGATGCTCCATCTGTGGCAAATACTGGTTCAGATTGATGTAATGTAGCCTACTGTAGAGTATAATATAAAATAAAATAATGGATTTCATAGATACAACACACACACACATTGACAGTAGCCATTATACCTAGGAAGCCTTTTTCAGGTCCAGTGAATGTTAGAATTAGTATCATTAGTGGACCAAAGGCAATATAAGAAAATCAATAGTTTTAGTAGCAATAGGAGAAAATCAATCACATTTTAATAGAAGGCCATTTGTCTTTAGAGGTAAAGTACTGGCAGATGGTAACCAATCTCAGTCAATGGGATCATCCATGTGACCAGAAGTTACTGTGATATGGAAACCTTCTCTAATTAGAATCAATGGAATCCAGTGAGAGCATGTGACAGTTAGTCATGCTAGATTTACTCTTGAGCTGAAGCTAATGTTGTGTTGGTAAACTGTGTATAATGGATTTAACATTTAGAGATATATCTGAAAAAGATGATAGAATTCGTATCTAATGCGCGCCTACTGTCATGCTAAACTAAGGTGGCTAACATAATCATCATCATACCTGCTAATATGAGCATGTTAGCATGCTCACATTACATTTAGCTCAAATCACATTTGTGCCTCATAAAGCAGCTAGAGTGGTGGGAAACTCTTTGTTTTGTTTACCACAACATAGACTGAAACCCAAAACAGTGTTTAACAGGGGTTTAAAACCACCATATGACCAACTTTTGCTGTACCTCCACTACCTTTTTTTCACACAGACACACACACCACATGCATAAACACACAATCACATCCACATACATTTGAAGAAACAAATATGGAGAGATTCTTATAAACATGCAGCAACAGCATGTGGAATATGGGTTCCCAATTAGGCTTTAAACCAACATATCCTGGTTTCTTATATTGTATTTCAAAAATGTTGACTCTCAGCCAGATTTTATTTGGGAAAACAAGCTGTACATTGTAAAAATATTGCGATATCAAGACAAAATGCGTCTGGGAATGGTTGCAATCTCCTGTGTCTCACTGTTCTCCTATTCTTTTATTTAATCTCATTCATTACAACCACACTTGCACTTCAAGAAAACATGCACACCCTTAATTAAATTGAAAGTTCTCTTTAATCAAAAGCACATGGTGGAATCAACTCTGTTTCATGTAATTTTTTGGTTAGAAGCTACACAATACAAGCCTTTTGTTTTGTTTTTGGTTATGGTGGTTATTGTAGAAGCTTGTTCTGTTGTTAAAGAGTTTTTTTTTAAAAAGGGGGGTGGGGGGGGGGTGGGGGTGGAATTAACTTACATGGTTTCAAAGGTTTTGTAATACAGTGTAAATTATTACATATCACTGATTGGCTGATTACAAATTTTAGAGTAGCCATTACTTGCATTAACAGGAGTGACATCTCATTATGTTTATTACATTGTTAAAACAACATACTGTTAAACTTGATTACATCCAGTTTAATATAGTGGGTCCAAAATGACTTTTATGTTCATATTTACAACCTTTTTCACCAAAACATTGCACTGCGTGATACAGCAGATTTAAAATGATTTTATTTAATAAAACAAAATATTCACATTCCCACAAACATACATACAGTACATATACATACACACACTGTGTTGTAGTGTTGTCAAGGTTAAAGACATTGTCCTGACATTCGCTTCCCTGTTCATGTATGAGACACACAAGCAATTAAAATCACACACACACAGTCATTTAGAGATTTTGACCTCTGCGCAGTCGCCACAGGGCAAGACAACCAAGGGAGGGAGAGAGAAGGAGGGAGAGAGAGGGAGGGAGTATTGTAAACAACAATCAGCTGCAGTTTTATACTGGAGGCAAATCATATTAATGAATGTTTTACAAAACACTAATTAACCATTTACTGAATAATGAAAGCACAAAGGCCAAAAACAACATTTATTAAACTTTTACAAATTATTTTATTATTGCTTTATTATTATTTTATTTATTATTATTTTATTATTGTTAACTACATGATTCTTTACATGATTACTTGTCAATAGGCTAATGATGACCTAATACTAAAGAGCTGAGCTCTTCTGAAATAGTCCTTGTTAGGTGCTTTCTTTAAAGGGGCATTGATTTTACACATGAAAATAGGTGTAGCCTCATCTTGAATTAAATGTGTAATATAATAAAAACTGTTTTATTTATTTATTTTATTATTTAGCATTATGGATCTACAGATTGGTCCATCTGCCTCTTTGTTCTAGACTGAAATATCTCAACAACTATTGGATGGATTGTTTTAAAACTTGGTACAGATAACCATTGTCCCCAGAAGATAAATCCTAATGACTTAGCACAACAGCAGTTGCCATTGTTCCTTTGGAGTGAAAAGTCTCAATAACTTTGTTCACAAAGTCTATGGAGTTTTGGATATGGTAGAGCTGACCAAGGGGGGTTAGGACAGTAGATATATGTTTAGCAATAATGTAACTCATAGAGTTGACGGTGCTGCTGATGGACCCTAGGGGACCGCTACAAGACAAAACCTGAACAACAGAACCAACATCAGCACAGACCAGATTTGTGAACTGCTGGACCTCTGTCTGAACTCCACTTATATCCAGTCCAATGGGGGACAAAAGCATGGCTGTGTCATGGGCTCACCAGTATCCCCCATTGTTTTCTACTTCTACATGGTAGAAGTAGAAAACAAAGCCCTGAATGCCTTCAGAGGAACAGCATCGAGTCACTGGGACAGATGTGTGTCGGTCAAAAATAAAATCCAGGAAGCAAAAGCCTTTTCAGAACACATCAACTAAGTGGACATTTATCAGTTATCAGGACCCTGCACCACCAAGCTCTTAACATACCAGCAAGTGCCCAGGCCCAAGAGAACATAAACACCTGAAGGATGCACTAAAAGCTTAAAGCCTAAATGGACCTTTGTGAAAACAGTCACAAGATCCAGGACGAACACCAACACTACGGGCGATGAGGAAAAGACAAGTAAATGCAACAACATTGTGATTTCATGCATGTCTGGGTGGCATGGTGGTCCAGTGCATAGCCCTGTGGCCTCACAGCAAGAAGGTCACGGGTTCAAACCCCAGTCGTCCCAGCCTTTCTGTGTGGAGTTTGCATGTTCTCCCCCTGTCTGTGTGGGTTTCCTCTAGGTGCTCTGGTTTCCCCCACCATCAAAAACATGTTAGTTCTTCAGTCAGTGCAATTGACTGGGCACTGATACAAAACCTGGAGTTGGCCCCTGGGTGCTGCACAGCATCCCTTAAGGGATGTGCAGAGAACAAATTTCACAACATGTATGTGACAATACTCAGGAGGATTTTCAACTAACACCACATCTCTGTGTTTTTTAAACCCAAAGACAGATTCTGGCCAACCCAAAAGACTGCACACACAAACACAAGAAAAGCAATCTAGTGTATGCTGTCCTGTGCATTGAGGAATGTACAGACCTGTATATGGAACAAAACAACCACTACACAAACGCATGGCTCAACACAGAAGGAATTCCTCAGGTCAAGACTCAGCAGTTTAGTTACATTTGAAGTATAAGGGATACTTTTGAAGACAAAATGCTCATATTCTAGATAGGAAGGACAGATGGTTTGAAAGAGAAGTGAAATAAGCCATTTACACCAGAGTAGAGAAACCCCCTCTCAGCAGTGGAGGACATCTACAGCACCGCTTATCCCCTGCCTACAATGCTGACAACGATGGTCATTCAGACTTGGGCTCAGATGACTCTAACGGCTATAATGACTGTAGTTGCAACAGCAGGAGCACTAACAAACCAAGTGGTATCCATCACTTTGAAAACAACCCCACAGAGATTAAATAGCTGGGACTCCCTGTCAATATTGTAATAAATTTGGTGATCCTCTGACTTTTTATCGAACACCATCATTTGGTCAAAATTTTAGCTTCTCCAATACTTTGCTTTATGATTTAATCCCTATAAAATAAATCACATTCCCATCAGCCTCAGTTGTAGTTTGAGTTTGGTGCTAATTACCAAATCTCAGCATGCTAACACGCTAAATATCAGTATGTTAGCATTGTCATTGAGAGCATGTCACTTTAAATCCTAGACAGGACGCCAAGCTGGCCTTCTAGCTGTTGGACTAGTAAGTAATATTGCTATGTTTTGTGTTGTTGCACTTGTTTGATGTTTGGCTGTGTTAGCAAAGTCGTTGACTTTTGATGATAAGCCAAGTCAGCATTTTGACAGAGGTTTAAAAAAAAAAAAAAACGTATTCACCAACACTTTATTATTTGAGTGTTTCTTGTAACATGTTTAGTACAGAAAAAAGAAAACATCTTGACACGAGTTTTTTTAAACTAGTTTTTATTTAGGAAGTGAAACAAAATGCCCAGTGTCTTTGTGCTTTACATTGTTTGAAACCGCCAAAGGAGGTCCCAAAAACAACCTCAGAGGAAGAACTCAAAACAAAGCAGGAAGCTCCAGAAAAATTCATCACCATCATCATTATAATCATCATCATCACTGTCACTCTATACATATCTGTAGAAATTATTGGACTCCAAAGTCACACCAGTGCTTATTTACAAGGCCTCTTGCCACAAAATAGTCAAGTTTTCATTCATTCTTAAAAAAGGTGTGGTGTAGATGCTCTCACACAAATATGTTGAAAAATGACACAACATGTAATAATGGTGTAGATTTATACCATGTGTCATTTTAAAGCATATTTTCATGTGTCATTTAAGGATAACACTGTTGTTTTTACCTTTTGATTCATCATAGTAAAAAAAGGAGAAAGAGGTTGTTATTTCTACATACAAGGCATTGTCTACCTGAATCTAAACTCTTTCATTGTGCTACTATCTTTGAACAAAAAGTTGTAAGATATCATTCGTAAGAGGAAGTGCTTTAATATAAGAATAGGTAAACTAGCTTGTGGCTATAGTAGGCTACAGTAGTTCATAGTAGAATCTAAGTGTTTGTCGATGCACTCTGGTGCTGAAATATTGACTCAATGTCTTCTTTTCTTTCACAACAATCCTTATAATTGCATTAGGGATCGGCACAACACCCTTACAACAGCCAGAGAGAAAAACAACCTGAAATTGTGCAGTTGGTTAAATAAGTATTGTTTGAGTCCTCACATGGAGTTTGTGAATGACTGTCTTAAGTTAAGCCAAAGAGCAAAACAAAGCAACATTTTTGATATAATTCAAACTGAGGAGTCAGCTGATTTTGACCAACTCATAGGAGGACATTTCTTCCTCATCACTCCAGGGGCCTGCTGAAGGACTACTGAGGGTCAAAGATCCCCACATTCAGCACCAAAGCTGTTGTAAAGTTATGTTTCACCTTTTCAACAATCCAAACCAGGAACATAAAAAGTACCAAAAACTCTTCATCGTTGTTGTTTTGGGTTTCTGTTTTCATTCATGTTTCAGCACCAGAGGCCTATACCTTCTACGTTCTACAATATTTTAGAATAATAATACGAGGCAGGCAGTGCATAAACCATGTACAAAAAGACCCTTCCCGACCCAACCCAGAGCCCTCCACCTAAAGGAGTTGTGCCGCCTGTGTGAATCCCTGGAAGAAACAGCTCCAAATGCTTATTTGTCAACAAGCTAATGATGCCAAGATATAATTATAACTAGGAGGCAATTCTTTTGGATAATATAACATACTAAATCAGCAGAGGTTGGAAAATTGGAAAACTTACTCTACTCTTGATAATTTGATCTGTTCAAACACTGAACAATCACAAAAGTCACTGGAGAAAGTCTGAAACAACCACAACAGTGTCACAATCCCTCAAAATGCAGAGCTCTTAACCCAACCCTCCATATTTAACACTAACTTGGTTTGCTTTCCCTGAAATTATCATTTCTCATGACTACGTAGAATAGTGGTACTTGAAAAAAATCAAGATATTACAAGCAGTTATGACTCACGTCTCTTTAAAAATGTCATGCATTATTGCTCTATCGGATATGAATGAAATATTGCCCAAGACAGAAATTTGCTTAATTTGCTTGTTATCTAAGAGGTTTGGCAAAATACCCCAAAGATTGATAAAATTGGCATAGATTCCATTATTAGGCTATTGTTATTTTTTGCATGCAGTAGTTTTTTTATAATTAAAGTGGCAGACTAAAGTAAAAAGGTATTCAGTAATCAGAAAGTGTCAAATGCTTTGGCATATTTGTAACAAAGGCAAAATGTAACAAATTAATTTAACAAAGTAAAGTGCAAAATCAAAACATCTACAAAAACATAAGAATAAATAAATAAATTATGCAATAAATAGAGCTTAAAAAGACGTAAACATCAAAGCTGAATACTGTGTGGCCCACTGACAACAAACACTATTTTACAACACTTGAGAAAGGTTTGACCTTTTGAAGAAAATCACAACATTTTTAATGTCTGGATCCTCGTCTGACATTGACAAGTATAAATAAATAACATCAGATTTAGGTTGTAGGAAAACACTGTTTCTTATGGGAATACCCTGATGGCTCAGTGGGAAGTCCAGTTTGTCTGCCTAATTCCTACTAAATTTCCACTGTTTACTGTCAAGTAAAGCCCAAATGCCAAAACTAATTATATATATAAAAAAAGAATACAGCTTCCACGTCTCTGTCAAGTTAAGACATTGGTTTAAAGAAAAGGCAGAAAAAAAATATTATTTCCCCACTACAAAGGTGTACTTTGTGTGCTGTATCTACCATGTTATGGCAGGTTTGTACATTATATTTCTTCACAGATCTGTTACTTCACAGTTCCACATTTCAGTGTGGATGTGTCAGTAGTGATGATAGACACAGTATACAGTAGGCAAAGCATGTGACTAGTGTAGAGGAAGCATTTTGTTTACTTGCAGGGAACAAATGCTGTGTGCTTTCTATGTTTTGACTCTCCTCATACGTCCAGTCCAAGGTCAGTTTCACCAAAAGCAGGATACCAGATGTATCCCTATGAATGTTTGTTTAAAAAAAGGATTGAATATGAACGTTCATTGAACCTCTTCGCAAGAAAACTTAAGATGTGATTCATGCTTTACACTCCTGTGATATCCCTGTCACAGGAAGACAATTGTGCTTCAGTGTCGTTTTGTTATGGGTTAAAAAAAAAAAACCCGATGGCGAGGATAGATACAGGCATAAATAGATCTAGGTATCTTCAAAAGTGATGAGCTAGATATGCTGTGCTTTATTTATCTTCACAGATACTCAAAACAGCTTCAGAGGGGACATGTCTTATCGAAGCAGGTGACAATCTAAATCGAGCATAGAGGGAATGGAGGGTATTGATATAAATGGACATGCCCTCAATCTCTTTTTGTCATTTGCCTCATGATCCTAGCAGAGAAAACACTCCTTTCTTGTAGTGCTCAGGTATACTGGTCTTGTTGGGGAAAGCGGGAAGAGTTGGGAGTGAGGCCAGTAAAATCTGATTTAAATAAACAAAAAAAACTTTTTGCATCCGTCATTCCCCCAGTGAGCTCATAGGTGAGAATGCCCCCTTGAAGCATGCCGATTCATAGTGCTTGTTCAGATAACTCTTGAGTGCAAATGTCTTGTCACACCGTTTACACTTGTAGTGCTTGAAGGCTGAGTGTGTCTGCATGTGGGCGCGCAGGTTCGACCGGTCGGCAAACGCTTTACCACAGTGCGCACACCCGAAAGGCTTCTCGCCCGTGTGCGAGCGCATGTGGCCTTGCAGCAGCCATGGCCGGCTGAACGCTTTGCCGCACACGTCGCACTTGTGCTTGAGGTCGTGTGTCAGCAGGTGCATGGCCATCGCAGGCATGGAAACGTAGACTTTCCCACATGTGGGGCACTTCTTGGCCATTTTGCTGTCTATGCTCCTGTGCGTCTGCTTGTGCCTGCTCAGGTTGGAGGACGTGGCATAGGTTTTGCCGCACTCGCTGCAGGTGTGTCTCTGGGTGGTTCCTTTGGGAATTCCCGTGGCTTTTCTCCGTGAACGTCCGTCCATGATGAAAAATGCATCCACTGTGTATCCCTCGCTTACAGCTGCGTCCCCGTTGATGTATCCACCAGCTGATGATGACACCTCAGAACGCGGGCTGTCCGGCTGGTCTGAATCACCGTGGATATCACCATGGATACCAGAATAGTTGTCGTCGATGCTGCCATAGATGATTGATGGATGGTCAGGGGAGGGTACTTTAGAGATGACAGATGAGTCACTTCCCACCACATCATCATAAGGAGATGGACTCAGAAAATCGCTGACGTATCCTGAAGAGAGAGAGGGAGAGGTTAATTATTTGACCATGACATGGGCGTTGATTGGAAAGTGATTGGTTTGAAAATCTTCACAGGGAAGAAACAGTGTTACAAACATACTTTGATATCTGTGGTCCCAATATATTATGCATTTTATGAGTTCCACTACACCGTTATGTTACCTCTGTACATCCAGGTCCAAACCATTAAATAAGCATTTTTGAGTTCATACAAACTTGTATGCAATGAGTTACTGAGTGAGTTACATCCTGAGGACAAATACAATTAAAAAGATTTCATATAGCTGTAAAAACACAGGCCACAAATCAAACCCATTCACCAAAGTTCATTCATTATTCAGAGAGATGCTTCATATGTTGTCTCCTGATAATATTACTAATTACAGCCAGCGGTCTCTGGTTTCTAAATATCAGTTAGACTGCCCAGGATCACAGTCATAACATGTGCTTTAACCCCTTAACACTGACTGTCGCAAATTCGCATCACACCTCTTCCTTTCAGACTGCAGCTGAGATAGCGTATGTATTCCCCCAGTGCCTGTTTGTACATATTTGATACGTTCCTGGGAAGATTTTGCAAGCACTGGTTTCTCGTTTATGCCTGTTGTCGCTAATTTGCATCATACCTCATACCTGAAATCGGCTTGAAAGCAAATGAAAACAGAAAGTATTTTTAATTTTTATTTTATTTTAAATAAATTCAGGCATCAAGGGGTTAAGATTAACTTTTTTTTCCCATTAACAAATGCATCCATACGAGGATGCAGGAGACACAAGTCCATTCTTAAGATACTCCCACACACTCAGAGGTTTGTCTGAAACACAACCATTTTTGGAGGTGGTATAAAGCAGAGAAGAAGGAGAAGGACAGAGTTGAGGTATTTACAGTAGTAGTAAAGTAAAGGAGGAGACACTATCCCCTCATTGGGACTTATTTTCTTTTCATGGCAGTGTTTAATAAGCAGTCTTTCTCCTCATCAACTGCACCTTGACCAGTCTACAACTGCACACAATCACACCTCTGAGCTGTCAAAATGTCAACCATTGTACACAGAGCATCTCTTTTACAGCAGCTGGGAGAAAGCTAGTGCTTTGCTCAAGGGCACCCTGACATTGACTGCATTTAATTGTGTATGGGCCATAGCCCTTCAGCCTTCCTCTTCTTCTTGCCTGTGACTCACATGAGCAACATGCCTATTTTTGCACAGCTCCTGACTAATCTGTTTAATTATTTGTTGCCCTGTTATGATGTCAGCTGCTTCATTATGTCTGTTATACACTTAACAGGCTGAACTCCAACAGACACAAGGAGAGACTGGTAGCTAATATCCCACAGCCATGACTCCTGTGGATCTATGTCGATCAATAGCTCTCCATTTCAATTAGCACTCTGTGAGCATTTAGACACAGGCAGCAGAGGAGATACTATTGCTGGTAATATAATTTCATGATGCAGTTCTGAGAAAAGCTCAGTAGTTGGTCGATAATATGATGAGAACAAGAGACAGAGATAGATGGTGGCAGAGAAGCTGTGAGATGAGAGATGGCAAAAAGAAATGGAGAAGGAAATAAAGAGTTGCAGCAGAGCGAGAGCGGTATTACATCCAACACGGTGTTTGGGGTTAGGTGGTTTGGCAATGCTCATGTTGATTTAACTTTTTTAATTATATTAAGACAGAGCAACAGAGGAAAAGAGAAAGGGCGGAGGCAAGACATAGGGAGTCAGAAAGAGGAGGAGACAGGAGAAAATCATGAATCATGAATATTAAATGATTGCACTCTGGAACAAAGTACAGTGTGTGTGTGTGTGTGTGTGTGTGTGTATGTGTGTGTGTGTGTGTATCTTGTTTTATAGAGCATGAGTAACGAGGTAAGTTGACAGAACAGTTCTAGTTATGAAGATGTTGCGGAGCTACATAATCACTCAAACTGGCAGATTCCCAGTGGAACTAAGAAGTTGTAGCCTACTGGTTCACACAGCTCCGCTGGAGGGGGTCACTACCTTGCTTAAGGGAACTTTCACAGCAGACATTGCTTACTTTCCCTTGAGGAATTTTCCCATGGAAAAGAAATGTCTTTTTGTGGTTTCTGTGCAAGTGTTCAGATCCTTTACTTAAGTACATTACAATTAAAAGTCCTGTATTCAAAATGTTACTTAAGTAAAATTACATTAACGTATTTGTACACTTGTATGTACTTAAAGGTACAACGTGTAAGATTTAGCCAGAATTTTAGTTTAAAACATTCAAAAAATTCACTAGGATGATCAACACAATGTGAAGAAATAACAGTTCTGATGTTTTGCCAAGACGTCTATGTATTGTGTTACAGATACTACTGAAGTTAGCATGCTAACCCACTAGCCCTGGCCTATCTTGTGTTGTAATACCACTTGTGCCTCGAGAGGCGGTAGTGTCCATTCTGCCCTCAGTCCAACATATGAGGACAATGAAATAGTGCTGCCCCAGGGCATGTCAATCAATGCTGCTACACGGGCCGCTCTACCCCTCCCTTATGCTCCTCGACCTCTTGTTCCTCTGCTACCTATAGTTTTTTGTCTTCCGCCACCACTTGATCTTCCCTGTGTCTGACTGGACAGACTGTGTGATATCATCATCATCTGGGGACACACAGGAGGTGAAAGCGCCCCAAAGCGTCCCAAAGCACTGTCTGCTTCCTTTTGGTGCTCATGTAAACCAATTGGTCTGTTTAGACAGAGTGAGCTGGTGTAGATACAGCCACGAGCAAATCTGGCAAGAAAACATACTGATAATCTACTATAAGCAATATAATTCATATATTACAGAGCTATTCAATTATGTTGGTCACAAGGCCACATTTTCAGAAAGCTAAGTCCCAGGGAGTGGACATTTCCCAGAGCTATTATTCTCATTATTTATGGGACAAAACTGAAATAGGCTACTATGAAACAGTGTATTTATTTTAAACAGTATGAATATTACTTGTATAAAAATTATCAAATAATATCAAATACATGACATTCATTTGATCTACCTCCGACAGGCGGCTTATGCACTTTTATTTTGTAGGTAGCAACATAATGAAAACAAACATACCCAACAACAGGGTGCAGGATGAGAAAAGTGTGGCAGAAGTTAGCAGACAGAGAGCGATGGACTTGACACATGACAGGATTCACGACTTGGATGTGTGGACCCTTACAGACTAAAGGAATATAAATAATCAAGGAGCGAACACATTCGGACTTAACGAGCACTTCAAAAGTAACGGGAGTCCGCACTTTCTTTTGTCATCTCTTGCACCATACCGTTTACACCAGTAAATCTATAAGAATTAGACTTTGGGGCTTGTTGCGTCACAGGGATTATGAGGTTTTATATATCCAAAAACCAGACCTGCGTTTATTGGAGTATAAAGTACAATGTTGCTCCCTCAAAAGTGCACTTATGAACGGCACTAAAGATTAATGTGTTGGACTCATTAAGGACTGACTAATTGACCTGAGTTTGGCTCCTGGTGAAAATGTCTTGTGAGTGAGAATAAAATAACTGCTGTGAAGGACCAGATTGAGTTGTGCATATTTGACTGACAGGCAGTAACACAACAAAAACAACATAAAAACAAACCCCGTCCCTGGTTTTAGGATGCAAGTTATAAAGACAGTGCTGGTTTCTCTCACAGAAGCTTCTTCTATGATCCCTGCCAATTAAACATGACCATTCCCTGGTATCCTCTTTGAAAAATTGTTTTGTGAACCGTAATTGCTGTACATCTCAATGCCTGCGTACTGTCTCTGTTTGTCGTTGTCTCCCTCCAACTGTCTCTGTCTCGCTGTGTCAACTCTACTGTATTCATTTCAAAGCACTTTAGCAGCATTAGAGCTGATAGCTGTTCAAAATGCTTATTAAAGATTAAAATGCTCTGCCAAACCAAAGCCATCCCTCTTTTATGTGTCTTTGAAATACATGGAATTAGAAAGAGAAAGAAAGATGGAGTGAGGCAATGAGAGACAGAAAGAGGAAGAGACAGAGAAAAGCTGCAAGCTACAATTTAATTTTTGATCCAAACCAGCAGTAACTGACACACACTTGTGTGCTTTGGACACTTGTAGGTCACTGACTGCTTGTGTGTGTGTGTGTGTGTGTGTGTGTGTGTGTGTGTGTGTGTGTAATGCTGTGCACTCAGCTGTGCAAGCTGCCTGGGAAATGTGCCGAGTTGACAGAAACACAGCAGTGCGTGTACGTTTATGTGCGTGTATGTGTGTGTGTGTGTGTGTGTGTGTGTGTGTGCAACAAGCTGCAGTTGCTTCAGTCAAACTGTTGTTATATTTATAACAAGAGATAGCAGTCTCAGTCTTTACATGCTTGCCGCACTGCTGCTGCTTCTGCTGCTGCTGCTGCTGCATGTTTCTCTGTTCACTCTGTCATCTGAACACCTGGGATCTCTTCATCTCACATTTGACCTTGGTACAATGTGAAAACCACCAGGCTGCAGTGTTACACACTTCTCCCCCTCCTGTCACACATAGTTCTTTAAAGCTGCATTAGTCAAATTTGTTCACCACTAGGGGGCAGAAAGAAGCTGACACACACACACAACCCTGGCAAATTATTGCCTTATAAAGGTGTTACACATTTATTAGACACAAGGCAACATAATCATCTCACTGGAGTCCTGTTCTTATATTCACGATCCTTTTTGGTCTGGCCAGAAACTTTTGTCTGTCTGATATTTGGTGCTGTTCATCAGAGTTAATTTGCTGCAAATAGATGCCTGCTGCTCCTGAAAACAGGGTTCACTTCAAAGTGCCATAAAGTCAAAACAATAGGCTAAAAGAGGCTAAAAAGCTTCATAAAGCTGCACAGTTGCACAGTCTTTGTGGGTTTGTGACTGCAAGCAACAACCTTTACATTGCATACACACATTTGATTCAAGCACTAATTCTTGGGCAAAGGCTGCTACCTTTGTTAAAGTCAACCTCTCAGTACAAGAAGCTCCTGTTGTGCTGTGGTTTTCAGATATAACACCCAACACCAACATAATAAAAAAAACAACCTTTATGAGCCAATATAAGACTGTCAGCTTCATTTCATAAATGCATGGCAAGTATTTTATCAATGTTTCCACTAAATGTTTGACCCTATATCGCCCATTCTCACTGCCTGTATTGTATTATGGCAGGCTTATACAGTGTGTGGGAACCATTTAGTAATGTAGTGATATTGTAGAAATCCTGGAGAGAGGCTTCCAGCTGCTAGAAACAACATGATTTGAATAATTTACTGGGCAATGGAACAACAGAAAATCCCACTGTATGTGTGCTGGTGACATAATGTTTCAACATAATGATTTGTCATGGTTTTCTGCAACAACAACAAAAAAATCTAAGCTATCTGGCTCCCTGTAGTTTTTCAGCTGTCTTTGTCTTTTCTAAGGAAAACAAACTGATTTTTGAGGTATTTCAGCAACTATGTGTTCGTTGTACTGTACAGAGGCAGAGGCAGTACACGCTAAAAAGATTAAAAAACAGCAATACTTTTTCTATTTATGGTGTATTCAAATTCCTTTTAGGATAACAAGAGTGTGAGAACACCAAAGTGTGAAATAGTTCATTTGAAAAACTAATGGATTTGCTGTTTTATAAGATGTTGCCCGTTCTGGCACAGCATGAAACATTTAACCAAAGATCCTTGCCAAAAGTTCACATTTCAGAATTTCATTCACAAATTCCTATGTTTTTATGTATGTTTTCAGATGTTAAATGTCATTTCTGATTTAAAAAAAAAAAAAAAACAATTCAAGAGAGTGTATCTGTGGTCTTTATTTGGTAAGTGGGAATTTTCATAATTTCACATATTGATTTGTTTAACCACAGAGTCATCAAGAATTCTCACTGATGATGTACTTTTGAGAAAGACCCCTGTGCTCTGCCATCACCTCTGTCCTGGCTGTGGAAAGGTCAGTGTGTATCACTTCTTTTTTACATTACAATGCTCAAACAATATTTGTCTTGTTTACAGCTCTGAGCATGCAGAGTACTCAATAAGTTGCTTAAACACTAAAACACCAAAGCAAATCCCTGTTTCATCTATTTCGTGGAAATAATCTAGGCAATGCGAGAAAAAGAAGATTTCAGTGACTAGAATTTCAATGCCTGTGACTGGTATATTTTTGGGTTGTGACCGGAGTTTGACCCTGTAATTCCCTTCCCCCCATCTTTCTGAAACAGCCATGACTAATGCTTAAAATCTGGAAATAAAGAAATACCCTGGTTGATGTGTGGCAGATACTGTGGGTGGGAGGGTGACTAACCTTTGTCATGATGATGGAATCGCAGACTGAGTTGTTCTCTTCTGCTGTGGCCATATGAGCTCTCCAGCGCTGCAGCCGAAAAATCGTCCAGTTTCACTTTCTTCACCAAGAAAGAGCGAGGCATGATGGGACAGTCGTTGCTTCTATACTGATACAATAAACACACACCCTCCCTTTGTCTTTCAACCCACTTCAAACTTAATCGCCTGATTGTAACTCTAATATACTCCCTGGTTTCAGCTACTAAAGGTGAATTTGCTCCCTCCAATCAAACGGCCTCGAAAGTGGAGAGGGGACATGGCTTTTAAAGATTAAACAAACCAAGCGCTCCACATGTGCCTTTTTTTAGTATACCTAATATTTTCTTTTGCTCAGGTGTGTCAAATACAGACTGCCGTTTGTTTTTGTTTTGGACCTGAGGGCAAAATAATCTGTTGTCCTCGCCACTGGAAGACCCGTGGAGCTCTGAAAGGTCAAAAATAAATAAATAAATAAATAGGCTATTGTCCTGATTACATTAATGATGAGAAGCGTAGTAAAAAAAAGTCCCCCTTTTCTTGTTTACTGTTAATTTGTTGAATTCCGTTGCTTGAAAAAGAAAGACGACTGTTTTCTTCTGGCTCCAAACCGTTAGTCTTCAGCACGCAGACAGCTCCCCAGTTCTCCGCCTAACCTGAGCCGGTCTCGTGGTTTCAGCACCGGACAGCTCCCCTCGACGCTACACAGTTCTCTTTCCCCTTTCTCCGCGTGCCACAGCCAAGTGCCACTGTCCGTTCAGCATCAGAGGAAAGAAGAGAGAATAATAAGTTTCCCCCGTTTTGAAAATAGCTCAGCTCGGAGCGAAACACACACCGGTGGAAATTCCCCTGTAGGTGAGTCAACCCGATGTGGATTTTTGTCGAAAACAAACCTTTAGATGTAAGCCTACCGGTGCCTTCAAAAGGACGTGGAAAGGTACGGAGTCGTAACGGTCGGAGAGAAACGAAGGTTAACGGGTTCAAAGGGGTTCGCTGAGTCCAGAAAACGTCTCGAGAACAAGACTTCAGCTTTTCACAAAACAAACTAAACCAAACGTCGTCACAACTCCTTAAAAATATTGCTAAAATAATGTTTGTTTTCTTTCAAACTGCAGTTGGAAGACCAGAACAGCTCATCTCAGTGTCGCTAACTCTCTCTTTCACTCTCTTCTCCTCTCCGCCACTCGGTCTCTCCCTTCTTCTCTCTTCGGCGCGTGCGGAGCTGCGGCTCTTTCTGATGCACGAGATCAGCTGTTGCAGCTTTATAGGCCGAGAGAGAGAGAGAGAGGGAGAGAGAGAGGGAAGTGCTTAATTTTATTCATCAGAAGGGGAAAAAAGAGCATCTTGTCTTTTGGGACCAGCAGCGGCGCACGGTGATGGCTGGGCAGGGATTTAAGGTTTAAGTGCGCGCTGACGTCGATTTTTATGACAATGAAATTAAAAAGCAGGCTTTTCCTTCCCAAACAGATCCCTGTAGGAATGACGCATGTTGCGAATGATAAATTAGATGTGAACAGGTACAGCAAGAAATGATCAGCAAATCTGGTGATCCTGATGCCTGTGGTATGTTTGGAACATACCAAACATTATTTTACACCACTTTTTGTGATCATTATTTATTTGGATGCTCTCCAAATTGTCATTTTTCCATTTTCCATGTCCATTTGTGGCATTTGTATGAATCATTCCGGGGTGATTTACAGTGAATATAAACACAAGCTCCAAAAACTGACAAGCAACCAAGGGGTAGATGTTTACATGGCAATTTCAATAAGTGGAAAATTGCAAGACAGTCTGTTTATATTATGTGTATTACTTTGAATGCAAAGGTACAGTACTTACTGTTGGTTTACAGAAAAAATACCCCTCTCGCCTGATGATTCCAGCCTTTTTCAGGGACTGACAACCATCAAATCAACCAACTTCTGGTGGCACTGAACACAGGTCAATGCTATTACTCTGCAGTCAACCAATTGAGTTCCCTTTATGCAAATAAGAGCTCCCCCTGGACCAATCAGATCTCCTGTGCATAAATCCAGACTCAGCATTAACCAATGAGTTTGGTTAATGTAACTGAGGTGAAGATGTTTTTACTGAATGGTCATTCACAGAGCCAGAGAGTGAGACAATGTCAGAGCTCCATTGGACTTGCCTTGCACAATGTTCATTTGTGTAGCCTGTATGTCAGAGGAAAGAGACATGGTGCAGAGTGACGATGCACTGTTTTGGTGTTTACACACTCAAACAAGCAGACTTCTCCCTGCAGCCAGTAGACAGCGATGCACACACTCGCGCACTGATGCAAACCCCTACCCCCATTCATGCAGGCGAGCAGGATGATGGTGTGTGATGTAATGCAGTGACGTGTGCTTATGTAAGTCCAATTCACTGAGGTTTTAGGAGTTAACCTATTTTTATAGTTCATTGATAAATGTTTGAGAGAGACAGAGAGAGTTTGTCTATGAGTGTGTGTCTCACTGTGGTTAATTGCATTGCAGAGGATTGCTTTTTAACTTTGTGTGAGTGTGTTTCTGTTAAAGTGTGTGTGTGTGTGTGTGTGTGTGTGTGTGTGTGTGTGTGTGTGCAAGCATGTGCAGTTAAGTGCATTGCAGAGTATTGCCTTTTTGTCTGTCTCTTTGGTCATTACCATTGCTGGTTTATTTATATGCTGATAAACTGTATTGAAGGGGTTATTTTTTCACGCTCATGTCGACTGCATGCTATAAGATATAGGGGCTAACTGTATGTGTTTTAACATGTGTTCTGAGGCTCTAAAAAGCCTACAAAAGTTAAAGGATTTTCCTGAATGGCATCAAAACATCAACTTTATATTGAACTCCCTGTGTAAGGTGAAAGGGATTGTTTGTAGTACCAAACCAACTGAGAATCAACATCTGACTCTGCATCCTTATGCAACTTTCCGCCCCTTTTAATTGTCTTCAGCTTATTGTTTTGGTTTTCCAGTAATTTCCAGCAAATACACTGACTTACCGATTGTATGCTATACCTGCACAGCACAAAAAGGCAAGAGTGTCCTATAAAGAGGAACGACAGCATCAGCCGTTTCAGTAAGTGCCACAAAATTAAATGTTTACGTTTAAGTGACAAAGCCTCCTACCAGCCGTGGTAATAATGACGAGCTCATAGGAGGAAGCCAGAGGAAGTTGTTACAAAGTCTGCATAGGGAGGAGGTCAGGGTAGATGGATGTTCAACAAAACATTGGGCTTTAACAGTGTTCATTTCCCATTCCTAACTGACATGCAATGTTTTTTAAAAAGTTAGTAACACATTATTATCGTAATCAAGACAACAAAGCTCCCCTAACTTTAACAAACTAGTTATTCTAACCCAAACCATGACGTTTATCCAACCATAACAAAGTGCTTAAACCTAACCAAACCCTAACCATAGCACATCATAAAACTGATTAAAAGTTATTTGTGACAGTTTTGGAAAGTACAGACAAATTATGTTGTCTTGCCAATAGGGATGTCAGATCAGAAAGTGATTCTAGTAGAACATCTACCAATTTATTAAACTATATTTTTTTCAGAAGTTGGTGGACTAATCAGAGCTAAATTCAATATTTCAATATTAGTTAATATAGTCAATATTTGAATAAAGTAAAGTGGACCAAAATACAACCTCAATAGAGAATGGAATGGAATGGAATGCCACCATGTGCAATACCCACATTATTGTTGATATGACCCCAGAAATGATTGTGGGTCAATTGGATGAAATTACCTATTAGACTCCACACATTTTCTAAAGATGGTATAATCATGTAATAAATGTGCACAGTGTTTTAAACTACATGTAAGTTCTTTGTTTCTGTGAGATTGTTCAGAGCCATTTCTGTCCCGTAGTGGTCATAAATCATCTAATACTGCTTTAAAGCAGCTATAATCAATATTTTTTATAATTACAATGAACCTACAGAGAATTATCACCCGAATTTGCAGCTCCCCTCTGTGAGGGTCAGCTGTCCGGCGCACTCTGCTCTCATAGGTTAATTTTTGCCTACAGCAGACACCTGTTTCCAGCGAAAAAAACTCTTAAAACCCACTGTACACTACCTGCTCAACACCAAACAGCAGACAGATACAGAAGGCAACAAGCTTGTGAACACAGTGAAGCATTTAGTAAGAAAAGAGACAAAAAAAACTGTGCTAAAAGGGAGAGTCACAAACACAACTCCAAATAAATTCTAATATGGCTTTGTAACTGCTGGATGTGTAAAAAAGCAACTGTTATATAACCAGTTAGCCATTAAAATATGATTCTAAAGTGAATCTATCTAAAATTAGACCTATAAAATAATTTACTGTTTTAGTTTGTTTCTGTGTGCTTTTATACTCTCCATGGTGCCAACTTCACTGCAGACAGAGTGACAAATGCAAGACAGATCAACAAGGCAGATATTAAAAGGTATCTGTCGGTGGGGGCTGATTGTGATTCTCTCACTGATTGTCTTTTTGTGCGTATTGATGACACACCAGGAAATACCAATTCTATCTGGTCTATTTCTATGATGTTAAAATTGTCCACTCCTCGTTATTTTTTGTGCTGGTCTGTGAGTGCAGTTACACTTCTGAGGTCAGCAAAATATATTTGTGTTTGTGTGTTGTGTGCAGAGACTGTGGGGACATGTGGAGACTGGAGACCCATTAGCATAATAATAGATTCGGATGCATGTAGACAGGCAGGCGGTGTGTGAGCATGTCTGTGTGTGTGTGTGAGTGTGAGTCCTTAGGAAACACAATCGAAGGGTCCATGTTGACTTTTCATTCCTCTGCCTTTTAAAGAGCTATTTAAATGACTGGTTTTAAATAAAAATCCATTCAAATAGACGGTTTTACATATAAAGCACTATCTAGATGAAATGGCTTGTAAACAAAAACTGACAGAGAGAGTTATACGGAGCAGGAGGGAGGAGGAGAGAAAACAGAAAGAGGGGGAAAGACAGACAGAAAACAAAGAGGGAGAGAAACGGAAAAATAAAGGGACAAACCACTAATAGAGGACAAATGGAAGGTCAAGCTGGGTTTCAAATGTAAGGAGAGACAGAGAGAAGCAGCTCACAATAACATAACTGTCACAGTGGATAGATAACCATAGTGATGGATGACCCTCTCTTTGATTTCAGCCTACACCAATTTATTATATTGGTTTGTTGTCTTTAAATAAAACCCATTGGAAAAAAACACTAAATACATTTACTTTTTCATTCTATTTATGCATCTGCTTGTCAAGTATTTACAATACTAGATACTGAGGCAGTTACATGATGTTAATGATACTGAAGTAAAAATCAACATCAAGTGTCCATTAACAAATTTAGCAACAAAATACATCTTTAGTCATTGCCTTCCAGAACAACCCATATGAGTATTTGCTGATCTGACACCCTATGGCAGGACTGCATTGTTTGCCAGTGCCTTCTAAAACGAAAGAGCCTTTAAAAACCATAAATCACTATTACAGAAACGATTCATTTGAAACAATTTTCTGATCAGCAGCTGCTGTGGTTAGGTTCAGTTTTGGTTAGGTCACAAAAACTACTTGTGTTACAGAGGTCACTGAGAAAGATCAAGAAGCAGAAGTCAACAGCGCTCTTGCATGCCAAAGTCAACACCTGTGTTGACCCAACCACCCTGACCTTCTCCATGTTGCATTTTCCAGGTCTAAAACAACTTTCACCTTTGTTCCTGATAAAATAAATATTGTGATTCAGATGGCTGACCCCGCTCCTTGTTAGGGGAAATATTAGGTTTTAGGGTGTCTAAAGGCTGGAACATGCACTGGTCTGCATATTAGCATACAAGCACAAAATTGATCATGTGGCTGTTTTTTTTATGCATGTCTAGATTCTAAGTATGTTTTTGTACATTTTCCACTTCAAACCTGCATCCAAAGGAGCTTGTTCACCTTGCGTGACCCTCAGGTTCATACAATGCTTGTGGTGAGATTTGGGAGGTTTGCATGTAGGCTTCTCTTAGACCTATGGTTACCTTTTACACCCATCTCTGCATACACCCATAGAGACATTGACTTGTATATTCAGAGAACCATTACCCTAATCCCTTAGGGTTTCAAAGACACATCTTACAAGATGATCAAAGGGGTTAGAAAGAGGAAAAATGTCTATTTTCCCTTTTTTTTTTCTTGTGAAATAAAGGATATTTTTATAACTTCAAAACTCAAAAAATA